AAAAAAGCATACAAACATGAAAATACTTTCCAAATGGTTAAAATTACAACTTCTAGTTTTAATAACTTGGCTTATACCTCATCCTCAGGCTGTATAAAAACTGTCTGACCATCACCCTGCCCATAGGAAGCACATTCTTCATAGCTGTACACACTGTTTCTATAGAAATAAGTTGACAGGGTTATATGTTAAGAGCAGGGTCTCCAGCAATCAAATTCCATAAGGCAAACCCAGCTGTCAAAAGGCAGAGCCACATTCCACAGGTGGAACACATCCTCATCTGACCAAAAGTCACAATTCCTTTGCCACAGATTCATTCAAAGTTTCTGAAAACATGGAGGGGACGTGTAGTACTTCAGAGAAACTCAGAAGAAGGGTAGGAGTTGGTAGCTACAGTTTAAAAGCAGAGATCAGGATCTAACATCCAAAAAATCCTATGCAGATCAGAACAAGGCATTCAACTTCCCTGGGGTTCCCTTAATAAATAAGGATTGACAAATATTATTCCAACAATGAAAACAACAACAGACCATCTCTTTAGGTCAAGTACATCAATGGGAAATACAGTACAGTGGAACAACAACAAAATTACATCAGCTGAGAAACTCAGACTGATTTCTACCCCCTCTCTTGTATACAAACCACTGCTAACATATGAATAATGCTGTCAACAACAGACAGGGAATGCTGGCCAGCTTTGTGGTGAGGGAGAGCAAAGAACACAGAGTGGACAGAAATCTGCAGCTTTGTTCTTCCATGATACAGCAGAAATCCCTATTTTCAATGGAAAGAGATTGGGTCATTCTTCTGGGCAAAAAAACTGAAGCGATTACATAGCCCCAAGAACAGCTGGAGCTTTCCTGTATGAATGCAGGAAATGGGGAGGGATGATTAACAGCCAGTCTGTGGGATACAGCAACAAGGCCAAGGAGCCTTAAGTATGTCCATAATGCAACACCCACTCCTTTCCCTCCAGGTCGATGCTGCAGACACAGCCGGAGGTGCTGGGGATGCTCTGGGGGCTGTTTTGTTGCACAGAGCTGTCTTCAGCTGCTCACATGGCTGAATTCCTGCTTACCACCAGTATCAGCCAAAACACTAAAGCCCAGTAGATTGCTCCTCCAATCTTTGCACTGAAATCTGGCAGAGAAGCTAAGCCCAGTGTCGAAGCAAAGGTAGGATCTGGCTGCAGCAAAGATTGCTACCAAACACCCAGAGTGGCTTTCTCAACCTGAAGCTGCTGTTTATCAAATCATATCAACCCTCTGCATGTAAGGATGCTCAGGAGGGCCCTGCTAGCG